CATGGACACACATCCTGCACCGGTTCTTCATTGATCTGGAATTCCGTTTGTAGACAACTCTAATCAACCTGGAGAGAGTTTACCAATCATGAATGAAATTGATAGTCAGAAACATTGTTTAATTCCGTTAATTTTGAGTGTTCTATCGGAAAAGGATGAAGTGTTTACAATACATGAAGATGCTGAAAGTGATATTGGAATGCATGCTTCTCAACAAATGACGATGTGGTCGTAGTTGAGTTGGACATGCGCAGCCCGGAAATTTTGTCCTTCAACCTTTTGACTCCGGCTTGCGAAAGTGATACCGAAACTGTTAAAGGCTTGTTATCTTAGTTTGAAAGGTCTGCTTCTCATTTGAATGAATGACTACCACAGGCAACCTATAAATATTTACGCTCTTAAGCACGCAATTTGTAGAAAGCACAAAGACTTGCCAGTTAATTCAGACGGTAATTCATCTCGTAACGAGAGCATTTAAAGAGGAAGATGAGGAGCAAAGGAATGGTTTGGAAGAGACTTAAAATTGAAGCTTCATGGTTGAATTATCTAAAGATAGTCGGCAACCAGCACATTTTGCACATCAGGTTGGTTATTTATCGTTATTGAAAATTTATTGCGCCACTACAATTTATTACCTTAAAACTATATATTGAGTTATTAATATAATATGAAACTTGATGTCGCTGGAAACCACTTGAATACTGAGCTGGAAATATGCTCTTCCTAATTGGGTGCCACGAATGGAATGAACTGTCCATTATAAGCACGATGAAACTTATGAGCCTTACAGACCATTTTGTTTTTACTTTGAGTCTCTAGTCAAATTATCTCAAGACACTCTCGCACAAAAAATCTGTTGCTCATCAGATAATTTGGCCACGTTCGGACCTTTTCTTAAATTTATTCACCTCGTCAGATTATTTTGATCCATCATCATATTGGGCAATCAATTTGCTAAGTCAGCATTCAGTTCAATTTTTTGGGACAAAACTTGGTGGACACGCTCCAAAGTTGGATTTTGCTTAATTAGAAACATGCAACACTTGGGAATTAGAAACTCCAGGTTGTGAATTTATAGTGTCGTAGTGAATTCTAAATGGTCTTTTAGTCATCGTGTTTAAATCTTGAAGGTAACTGTATGCAATAATTGTAGCTACCTGTAGCTGCTTCTCCCTTTTCTATCATTAGAACAGAGCTTTTTTTCCTCCCACCCCCCAAGTTTTTGAATCCGCAAAGAGACCATCCTTCCAATCGCATTGCTAAATTATCCGTCAAATGAGGGTTGAAACTTTCAAACTTCGTTTTCGATAGCTTGCTTACCTTCTTTATGTCTATCTTCCAATTCCGATGAGCGTGGGGACTTACATTGGAAAGGAAAAAGAGGACTTCTCTTGGAGGGTGGTGAGAAGGTGGGAATGGCTACCCATATATAGTCAACTGAATTGAGTTTTAAAAAAAAAAGGTACTTAGCTTTTATTTATAGGTGGTTTAGTAGCAGAGGTTCAATGCAGAAATTACTTAGTTCCGCTGTAGAACTCTAATCGGATGCTACGATTACTTAGTTCTAGGAGAAAACTGCTATATCCCAGAAAATTTGAACAGGAGGAATTTGAGGAAGTTGGAGATTAAGGAATTTTGCTGCATATTGGAGCTGTTAAAGGCTATGGTCCAAGGTGATATGAGGAGGTTATCTTTTATTAATTTACTTTTCTCAAGATTAACAGCTACCATTGCCTTGCTCCTCCAAAATCTAGCACTCTCAATTTGGAAAGTTGGGAGTGCTGAAAAATGTTAAAGTTTTCTATTGGGCAATGTTTATTGACTCTTGAACGGCTACACAATGGAGGGACTATAAGGAAGTTGTCCATTAATGGCCTTACAATCAAGTGGTGCTTCTCTATATAGGAAAGTAGAGAAACACAAAGCCATTTACTTGTTTCTTCTCCTCCTTCAGCATAGGAAATCTCTTTTTCCTTTCTGTTGACTTATCTTGGGCTCTTTATTTCTCTGTTGAGGATAGTTTGAAGTTGCTTCTGTGTGGAACCAACTTCAGATGAAAGACAGAGATTATATGGAGGAATGCCCTCAGAGCAATTACTAGGAGTTAATGGCTTGAAAAAAATTATTTGATTTACCATGATAGGGATAGATTCTATAAATTGGCAACATTTCAATGTTCCTCCTAGTTTTCCTATTCCCTTTTCAATTGTTCCTGTGACTAAATCTCCACTTTGTGATTAACTCTAATTTGGATGCCTTTTTTTTTTTTTTTTTTTTTTTTTTTTTTTTTTTTTTTTTTTTTTTTTTTTTTTTTTTTTTTTTTTTTTTTTTTTTTTTTTTTTTTTTTTTTTTTTTTTTTTTTTTTTTTTTTTTTTTTTTTGTAAATCCCTTATGGGGGAAGAAACTAATTATCCTTTTTTTATCTAAACTTTTCTTTATTTTTTTCATCCCAGCCTTATGGTAAACTTTTCTTTAACATCTCTCTGCCTTTTCCCTCATTGTGTCCCTCTTTATAGAATTGAAGATATAAACTGCCCACTATAGCTTTTTAGCTGTCAAAAGTGTNGTTTTCTTGTGTTAAGAAATTGGTGAAGTTTTTGGGAATTTTTCCTTAGTTTCAGATTTGACGCCTTTATGCAAGTAAGAAGATAAGAGTGCAAGATCACAGGTTTGAATTAGAGTGTATTTGACAATTCTTTTAAATTAGTGAAAGTTTCTTTTAACTAATTATTAATAGTACTCTTCATTTTTTCATAACATTTGACTATATAGTGAAAAATACATTTACAAGTTTTAATTCCTTAACAAGTATGAAAATAGTGCATTTAAAAATATTACTTTCATGTGTTAGAATAGAATCTTTTCATAGAACATCACGAAAGATGAAACTTAAGAAAGGTAATAATTTTTTATGAGTGGTCGAACTTTTCAGCCTAAAGTGAGCATCTTTCCCCCGTTTGGCGGCAAAGTTAGTGGCAGACCACAAGGCCTTCAAAATATTGTTCGTAGAGCATGCCTCTGCAATTGCCTTGTGTTCTTTTATATCACGGATCATTGCTGCTCTGTTGTTACAGAAATGGTGGTAAGTAGTTTTTACCTTTAATCATGCGTTATGGAAACTTTACTTTTTTGCTTTCTGACCTCTCATTTTTAACCCTGACTTGCAATTAGATGAATTTATAGACTTATAGTTACTTGCATTTTCTATGACTTGTTTTTTTTTTTTAATTATTATTTGAATTGGAAATGGTTAGGATATTATTGTAGCGTAATGTAAAATTTTGATTGATAAGTTGCATACTTCAAATTGAATGGTTCAACTTGAAGGTGAAGAAACAATATAATTTTCTCTGAAATGTTATGGATCTAAAAATGCTGATCATGTGACTGAGCTGTAGGATCTGAATATGAAGATTGGTTTCTTGTTTTTTTGAAGTAGGTTTCTTTAATATAGCGTATGATAGTTAAAAACCTACGTATGAACGGGGGTTGTGAGGCCTTATCCCTATGCAACCGCCTTCCCATTATATTTCTGAAATGTTTATGAATTGGGTGCATTGCGTATCATGACAGAATAGCATTGTATTGACGAAGTCACTGTATGCGACAATGGGGAAGAAATGATTTGAACTAAGGTAAAATGGCAAGTTACATTTGATGTTCCTTCAAATTTTGGGTTAAAATTTAATAATTCTATATTATTTATATCTTGTGTGGATTTTCCCCTCCTTTTTTCTCTCNAAAAAAAAAAAAAAAAAAAAAAAAAAAAAAAAAAAAAAAAAAAAAAAAAAAAAAAAAAAAAAAAAAAACTCTCAACTCTCTTTCATTCTCCCCAAAAACCTTTATATTAAACCATTTCTCCAAGCTCGGAAACGTAACTACTACCAGCATATTTTGAAATTTAGGGCCAAACAGAATTGTAATCAAATCCTCAACGCCATAGATTGTATTGTATAGGCTACTTGTTGAAAAGGGTTATTTAATGTGGGGGGCGAATGCGAACCGAAAGGGAAAACTTTGGTGGGGGGAAATGAAACTTGTGAAGGAATCGCATATTGTTCGCGAATGTGAAAGAAATCATTTAAGAACTTTCTGACAGCTAGTTCTAGGTCAGATTGTTGGTAGTGCGGTACGGTACATAACTGGATAAGGATGGGAGAGGAAAGACATCCCAACTCTTTTTTAGGTTGGTTTTAAATGAGGACGTGAATATGTGTGCCATTCATGGATGGATATGAGACATGGTTGTGGGTGAAACCATCTTTAAGAGTTTATTTGGATTAATTTTTAATTGTTTACAAATATTGTTTTTCCACTCAACCATATTTTTTAAACACTAAAAAATAGAGACTTCAAACATAACTAACTTTAATTGTATTCCAGTATTACTAGAGTAACGATATACATATTAGTATTCTAGTTTAATAATTAGAAATTTATATGCTGTGTTTGAATATAAGCGTTACAACTGTAGGTAATAATTAAAAAGGTTAGATATCTAATAATTGTAGTTTTCACTGGCATCTAACGGTTGATATTACTTGGGGTTAAGATTTCGAATGATAGGTGGAAACGGGAAAAGCAGTACATCCTCTCATCTTTTCAGATCAGTTTGATGTGACACTTCAAACTCAAACTTTGTAATGTAAATGTAACATCCTCTCTCATCCAAAACTAAATAATGTATGTAACGTGTACTATTCTATTATGTGAATCTATCAAATTAGAGGGTGGAATTTGTGACTAAATAAAAGCATGTATGCAAATACAAATATGAAGAAATCGTAATCCATAGTGTCTTGATTAGATGTTGAGAGAATTAAAAACTAAAGTGATCAGAATGATTAAATGCATTATGACATTTGCTATTACCTTTCTTACAGGTCTCGAATTACTCCCACCATTATACTGTAATATAAAATTTTCAATGTATGTATAAAAGGCTAAAAATTATAGAAAAACATCATAATCATCAACCAGATATTTGTACTCTTTTTCACTTCAAGAAATGTTTCAACCAATTGAAGAGACCTCGCACCCCCCGGAGAGTAAGTGTAAAGGGGAGTGAAAAGGCCTTGTCTTCTGGTTCCTATGTACATATCAATAATCACCCTCTCTATATTAGGATATTTGGCATTTCGGTAATATACTCCTTTTTTTTTTTCCAATTTCAATCAAATTCCAAAAAAAAAGGTAATAAAAGAAAAAGGATAAACTTAACTTGACAGCTCACTCAAATTTTGTAGGACTTCTCACTGAAATTTTTCAGATCACTTGGTTTAGACATACCAGAGAATATTTTAAATCCAAAACGGAATTCATTACCTCGACAACATAAATCATGGTAGTTGCTTTCTGCATCACTTGAGAGTTCCAAAGGAATGCTTTAGATTCCCAAGGCAAAGGCATGAGAAAATTCATAGCAGCAAGCCTGTAACAAAAAAGAGCAAAAATGGTTTGAAGTTTAGTAAATACTATATCCGGTCATCTCGCACAAGTGGCAAGCAGCCATGGTAAGGAGCCACACATGATGTGGGAAGGAAAGAAAAGATGGAAAAGAGCGAGCAAATTAAGTTCAGAAATTACTCTTTAGTGCCTTCTGATCCAATTGTTCAAGGAAGTGCCGCATTTGAGACAACCCTGGGTTCACCTTGTCTCAAAGCCAATGGATTCACCATAAAGCCACCCCTTCGCTGGACCTGAAACCTATGGTTCTCTGGAGTCATAAATCCAGCATCCACATTAGCTCCATGGCGATCACCTGATCTGCTGCGCATTGGAGCCAATGGAGTTGCACCAATGGGAGTTGAGAACTTTGACGATGACTGTCTGCCCTCTGCTCTTTTCCAGAACCTTGAGCTCAAAAAATCAGCTCCGGGTAGCAGGCAACATGTAGTTGTGGGGGTGTTAGCATAAGACATCCTTCCACTTGATACAGCCAGATCATATGAGATCTCATCCAAGGCCCGTTCCAGACCATGCACACGCGTCTCCAAGGATCGCATTCCGTTTTGTGAACTCCCAATGAAGTTCTAAATGGTAGATAAGACAAAAACACAGGTGAGATAGATAAAATTTGAAGACGGTATTGCATCGAGTGATCAGTATATTGAACATTGCAAATAATCAAGCGCTAACAGTAACAGACAACGCAATTTTGAAGAGGGACAGTAATTTGTAATTCAATAAAATAAATAAATACTTTCTGCGATATGCGTTGACTGGCAGGAAATTGTAGTGATTTATAAACTGAGACAAGCAGCTGAAATAATAGTAGTCGAAATTATGATTTATCTCTGAAGCTTCGGTGGCAGGATGAGGTCAAACCATCTTGTAAGACTGGATCGTGTATGTACTCTAGAGTTCACATATCTCATATTGGAGCAACCTTGTTCTATCCATGTACTATGCGCTAGAAGATTTCATTTGGATTCCATGTTCTACGTGCTTGTTGTCTATTGATTTTGTTGCAGACTAAATGCCAATCTGATTATAGGAAGTGCACTAGAGTGTATTTGTATATTCCAGTATTCTAATGGTTCCGATTTCCTACGAGCGATCTATAATATTGAAGCATGCATTTGCCTCTGAAGATTTATCAACTTAACTGAGGACATGAATCAAGCATGAAGAAATGAAAATAAATTCAACTTCCAGACCAAGTGCAGTTTTCAGGATTTGGTACCAACCTGGAGGATATCTAGAAGACTGGATTGCTGCTTTTCTATTTGATTAAGCTGGTTACGGATCAAATGCAATTCTTCGGAGTCTTTGTGGTTCCTGTGCAGATCGTCGGTTGCATTACTTGTTACAACAGTCGACTCATGGCCCTCATCTGGACAAGGAACTACGCGAGATCCAGACCTGAGCCCACCGAATTTAATCATATTATCGTCAGAAATCTTATTGAAGAGTGCCCGTCTTGTTTCTGGTTTCGTAATCTTGGTGTTTTCACTAATCCTTCTATCCGGAATGTTTTCATCTCTTTCCTTCAGTTCTCCTGAGGGAGATTTCCTAGCAGAGACTTCTACTTTCCAGTCCAGACGCTTTTTACGCTCAACCTTTTGGAGCATTGACAAACTTGCTTTCTTGTCACCAGCACTCAAAGGGCTTCTCCTTCTCGCTGTCATCGCAGGTGAGGCATCCGGCGGTGTAGACCTACAAACTGGACCGGCGTTCTTCCTCGGGGTAGGAGAGTCAAGACGAGCAGAAGAATTATTCTTGGATCCAGGTGGATAACGTCCATCACTTGCGATTTCTAGAACAGAATAAAATACCAAAATGGAAGAAATCACAAGGCTGTCAACAATTTCACCAGATAAGCAGGAAATTAGCAAAACATTTACAGAATATAATGACAAAACATGCTACCTTTCGAGGAAGCTTGGGAATAAGCTGGCGCAGACGCCTCATCCGAGAGATCAGGAATCTGCTTCCATGCCTCGAGCATCTGATTCATTACCTCCCGTACAGCCTTAACCTATATCAAAATGGTTAGAAAAACAATATCAAATATCTGAATTCGATTCATATATTATATTTTTAAAACCATTAGAAACTGAAACCTTATCGAATCGCCTACTCTCGAACGTTTTCAAGCAACCAGCCTTGAACTCCGCCAGAGCATCCCTCTCCAAGACTGCTAGCTTACCGAGCGCCTCCGCAGCAGATTTTCTCGCCGCCCAATCCTCACTGCTAAGGAATGCAACCAAGCACGGGACAAAAATTTTCAGAGCTCCATTACCGAAAGCTCCATCAACTCCAATAACACTCCCGATCAATGTCAAGAGAGCCGACTTTGCTTTGAAACTATCGCATTTCAAAAGCTTCTCGAACCTCGGCAAAAGCTTGCCGAGCTTAACCGGATCCGGATCCGGTGCAGAATCAATTGCCGAAGCCAAACACAGAGCCGCTCCGATCTGCGAATTAGAATCTTGCTCCGTGAAAAGCGAATCAGTTAAAGGCTTCAAAAACGTCGAAAACGGCGATTTGGTAACACTGGAAGCTAATGTCGCTACAGAGTTAACACACGCGGATCGGACCGACGAATCAGGATCGCGGAACCGGCGTGTGATATTGGAGAGAATCTTCGAGAGGTATGGAGAAAGAGAATTTCCATGAGTCTCTGACAGAACAGCAAAGAGGCGAATGCATTGCTTCCTCACCAGCGATTTATCCGAAGCATCAGTGGAGTATATACATGAAAGGAAAACCGGTAAGGAATTCGCGTCAAGACTCTGAGCAATAGATTCAAGGTCGGATGCAGCAAGGGAGTAGGTATCTCGGTCGGAGAGCTTGGTGAGGCACGAGAGAATCCGAAGCTTCAGGCTCTGCGGCGCAGAGGCAGAGAGAGCCATGGCGAGAAGAACTGTAGTCGGAGGCAGAGTCAGACCTCAGGCGGCGACGGCAACATTGCCGGAAGGAAATCGAACAACCAGTACAGAGTTTTCCCGCGGGGAGATAGGGAAGAAGATGGGAGAAAACTGGTTTAGTGTTTTAAACTGTTGAGAGAACTGTGAGGGAGATTACGCCGGTGTATGAAAATAAAATTTATAGATCTCATATAAATAAATACATGAAATTAATCATCGCTTATACGCTGGTCCCCTCATATCTACATCAACCTTCCTTTTCTTTTTGCACTAAAATAAATAAATAAACAAAGGTAAGAAATTAGTAATAAATAAATAAATAAAGGTAAAAAAAATAAGTAAATTCGGGGTGCGGGGAACATGTGAAGACCTGTAAAATAAAAGGGAAGAACTTTAATTGACCATCATTTTTAAGGACGCGTGTCACCCTACAATTGGCCCTTTGCATCACCCGCTGGCGACGACCAACCTACTTTCATCATTTCACTGTTTGCTTCCTCCATAATTTTTCGGCGTAGTATTTATATAGTCTTGTGCGTATTAAATTTTCATTTGAAATAATTAAATAAATACTTAATTCAACCAAATAACAATTATTTTGTATTATTTATATGAATTATTTCAAATACATTCAATCTATCTTTATTCATACCTTGTTATGCGGCCAATACAATAATATTAATATCATTTCATTATTGTTTTTGATTATTAAACAAATCTTTCATTAAATTACGAATCCAATCTGTATTTATTTGATTTTAAAATTTTTATTTGGTTCATAAGTTTTAATAAAAATTTATTATTTTTTTCCGTGTGAACTTAAAATTTTTACCTTTAACAAGCCATCTAATACCTACACAAATAATATATATATATATATATAATCTTTTTGCCGTAAAAGTTAATAATGCTGAATATATTATTTGGATTAGAAATTAAACATTAATTTAAATTGTACAGAAATCTGATACAAATTGGATTTCCATTACTTACATATAATAAACTAATAAAACTAAAAGGCTATCTTTTTGTTTCCTTTTGAGAATGAAATGACTCAACTAAATAATATTTCTTTTTATATTTTAAGTATGATAGCTTATAAAATCTCAAACTTATATGGCTTTTTTTTTATTATTATTATTATTATTTCATAACATAAGCTTTAAAAACAAGGCTTCCAAATATAATATGTATAGGTTTAAAATTTTCATTTTTAAATATTATGTTGAATATATAATTCAATACGTTAAAACATATTAATTTATTGAATTAATTAGTATGGAGATGTGCAGTTTAAGCTAAAATGAAGGGAGTTAACCTATTAATGGGTTAATTTAATTAATGATTTGTAAATTACGAAAATGCCATTTGGGTTTTTGGGAATTTTTCGCTTTCCATTTCTTACTCCCAATTGACTCCACCCATCTCTCATTTTGGTTTGCCTTTCACTATCATCCTAAAACGACAAGAAAATAATAATAAAGTTTAAAAATATATATCAAAATTCTCGTTCTCTAATTATATAATTTCAACGTTAAAAAATACATGCTAATGTTATGGGTCGTGAAAGTCATGCGTTTTAATTTTTATATTTTACAAACACAAATTATAAATTGATTAGTTATCATTTTTTTTTATAAGCTATAATAAAATTATTATATACTAAAATTAAAAAGTAAAATTGTTACAATTTCGTCGTACGTTAAATTTAATTTAATTTATTTATTTATTACGAGAACGAACACGTTCTTGGTAGGGAGGTGAGATGAGAATGAGTGATTTGGTAGGTGAGAATATACTTCATTTCTTTTTCCCTTCCCTTCCTTTAAATGATTTTGAGGTTGGTACCACAACAAATGTTTTTCAATCTCATCTCCATCAATCATATATATATATATAATAACAATAATAATAATTAAAAAATAATAATAATAACTCCACTTTTTTTTAGTTTCAATTTTTGTAGTTTTATAAATTCATTATATCTTAATTTTATTAAAATTAATTAAATTATTATTATTATTTTCAAATAAGAAAAGAGTATATTAAATTAGGAACAATTATTAATTACCCCAAATAAAAATGATAATTCGATTTTAATGCTTGATATATGAATGATAAATAATGTTATATTGTGTTTTTAATGATAGATACATAATAAAAAAAATTAATCCGTGGATTAAATTAAAATTTAAAGGTCAAAATTGGAATTATATTAATTCGACAGCCTTCTCATATAGTCTTCTTTGTCGGTTGAATGCCCAAAAGAGTTTGAATATCATTTTCTATCTTACTTTTTATTTTTTAATTTATTGTTCAACTATTTTCTTTTAAAGTTTAACATACTTTTTCTCCCCATATTTTATTTTTCACTTTAATTTGAAAACTTTATAATATAATGATTCAATTTATAATAATATAATTTAATAATATCTTAATAATATTTTAAGATTAGTAAGTATACTTATAAACTAGATATAAAATTTCACCTTAAAAAAAATAAAGATTAAAATAATTAAGCATTAAAGTTTAGACAATCTACAAACAACAAATCGATTAACAATTATTTAGTTAATTATTGTTGTTATGGAGGATTAGATGATTGAATCATAAAGATTATAATATAATTAAGGTAATGAAATTGAGGAAAATGTGGGTACGAGTTGAGGGACAAGCTTTTATCAGTGTGAATATGAGACTACATCCAACCAACAAAGTTGTAGCTCACCTTATTTCTCTCTACTTTCAATTTATTAATTTCCTAATTTATTGCCAACATTTTTCACTATTTAATTCTACCTAACTATTACACAAATTTATTGAAATATTTTTAGTCTAATTAGGGATTTTTTTTTCTCGACCTTTAATAGTCTCTTTGAAGCAGGAGGGGTCGAGTAATTGGGTGGGGACGGAAACAGAGAATATAATCTGTGTCCCCGACCCCATTTAACCAACGGAGAAATCTCCCCCCACTTCCTCCCTCTAGTTTAAACGAGGAATCTCTACCTTATTTAGGACGGGTCTCCATGAGGCACAACGCTGTAAGCTAAATGGGTGTTTATGACTTGACCTAAGACGTTTTAATCGAATAATAAATATGAAAATTAAAAAATATTAAAATTAGGAATATAAATTCATATTAACAGAATTTAAAATATAATGCTAGATTTATAATCCAAAATAATATTTCCAATTGGTTATGCTCCTAGATCTATTAATTGGATAAGTAATGTATATATAATTGGAGTAACATGATAGTATGGGATTTTTATAGAATTTGTTTCCGAAATTCGTCGGGTTACCAGAATTTTAGGCCCACCTCGCCACGTGGAGGGCTCCACGTTTTAGCTTTCAGGTGTAGCGTTGTCCATTAATTTGTTTTTAAAATAAAATATAAGAATTTTATTTTTTATTAATTGACCAAATTTTCTCTCCTCTCTTTGTTTTTTTTTCATTTTTCCTCTTATATTCCAAAATAAGCAACGCGAACTAAGAAAATGAATTATACTAAATGTTGTAGTTGTACCGTTCAAGTCTAAGCTCAAGTCCCACGACTATCAGATATTGTCTTTGTTAGGCTTTCTCTTGTGTACTTCCTCTCAATATTTTTCAAAACTCGTTTAATAGGGAGAGATTTCACATATGCTTAGTTCCACTCTCACATCGAGGTGAGATCTCACAATCTATCTCTCTTGGAAATCCAACTTTCTCATTGGCACACCGCTCATTGTCTGGGTTTGATACAATTTGTAATAGCTCAAGTCCACCCCTAGAAGATATTGTCTACTTTCGAATATTAATATATTGGCCAAACCCAACCCAAATTTGCTTTTGCCCTAACCCGACCCTTTTAGGAATAATAAATATTCACTTACGTTGACAAATATATGCTACTTGAAAAACAAAAATTAAAAGAACCAATAAAATTAAAAGGAATACTTGACTTTTAAATGCTGTATGTAGGTATGGGCATCGGCCGAATTACAACCAACTAAAGGGGCCGGGGTTGTTAGGCCGAACTCCTCCGGCCCATTGAATGGCCCAACATATTAGACTCAAGAAACGACACCGTTTTGTTCATCTCTTTGGGCTGGCTCCAGGCAGTACACGGGTGCACGATGCCAATTGCCACGCCCGTTTAAAAGACCCCTTATTTTAAAGCCATTCTGAAAGGGCCATGGCTGGGCATGGCCGGAAATTTTGGAAATGAGAGGGATATTTTGGTAACTTGGCCGATATTTAAATGAAATCTCGGCCCTCTGTTTTTTGCTTATTCTGTGGAAAAGAGCGAGCGAAGCAGAGGAGTTTCCGTTATCCATTTTTCTTTTCTCTCTCTCTCTCTCTCTCTTTCTCTCCCCCTCGAAGATCTTCTCTCTCCCGGAAAATAAAAATATCCACACAAATTAGGGTTTCCTTGCGAACTTGGTTCCTTCAATTCGATTTCAACTCTCCCATCATGGTTACTGATTCGATCGCTAATGCTTCAATTTCTTTGGCCCCAAACGCCCGGGATTTGCCCCTGTCCAAGAAGAGGAGGGTGAGGACTCTCTCTCTCTTTTTGTTCAAACGTAAATCTTCTCATTTTTTCTTTTAGTTTTAATGCCGGAGAGTTTTATTGTTATTTTTTTCTTTGATGGTTACTGAATTTTCCCCCCAATTTGGTCGTAATTGTTTCGGCTGGGGATTTCAGGCTAGGAACTCCAAATTGAAGCAGTCCAAGCTTGACGTTCGTCGCGAGCAATGGCTTTCTCGAGGTATAACCACTAATTATGTTTCAATTTGTTGTTAATTGAATATATTTATGGAACCGACTTCATGCATGCGATAATTTTTATTTAATCGATTTGGGTTCACGAGTGATAGGTGCGATAAAGAACAAAAAATGGAACGAAGAAGACAATCGGCTTGATTCAGAGGTCGTCAAAACGGTGGAAGATGATAATCTTTCCTCCAAAAAAATAAATAGGAGGGAAATAGGAGAAGAGGACGACAGATCGGTCCACCATCACAGCGATTGTTCGGAGTCGCCGTCCAATAGCCCCCCTAGTATGGGAAGTAGTATCTTGGGTGGTAATGATTCGGGTCACCATTTTACTGGTAGTAGCAGTAGTAGTAGCTGCCGCAGCAGTTCTAGTGGTTGTCGCTCGGGGAGTATAACGGAGGAGGAGGAAGATGAAGAAGATGATGACTGCTTGGAAGATTGGGAGGCTTTTGCCGATACCCTAATCGCCACTGACAAGCAGCATGATCAATGCTCCGAGTCTTCCCCTAGGGGCGATGTTGTTTCTCAATTGGGTTCTTGCGGAGACAGCAGAAATGAGTTGGGCGTAGGAGATGGTGATTCGAGCATTGAGCATGGCAGAATTGCGCGGAGGGCTTCAATGAATGGCCGAGCATGGAGGCCTGATGATGCCGATCGTCCCCAGAGTTTGCCCACGTTATCAAAACAGCTTAGTTTACCGAATACAGATCGGCGTTTTGGATGTGGAAGCGTCCCTTGGGCTTGTGGTGGTGTTGTGCCTGTACCTACATCTTGTCCAATTTGCTTTGAAGACTTGGACCTTACAGACTCAAACTTTTTACCTTGTCCCTGTGGATTCCGGCTATGCCTTTTCTGTCACAAGAGGATTCTTGAAGAGGATGGGCGTTGTCCTGGTTGCAGGAAGCCATATGATCGTGATCCTGCGGATAACGAGACAAACGAACACAGTGGCAGCCCGACTTTCCCATTGGCTCGTTCTTGTAGCATGATTTCAAGGTCTTAGGTAGTGTTCAGTTTCTGTGAGTTGTTAATGTACGTCTGCTCCACTTTTCTTTTCTTTTCTTTTAGTTTTCTGTCCTGCGTCTCTTGGGTACTATAGTAGTCTTGGGCTCTGATTTTCATAGTAATAGAAGTGGCATTTGGGTGTTGAAGTATGGTTATGAGATTGAGAACCTTTAAACTGAATTTCCTACAAGAGTGTGGTTCTTATCTTGTGGTACATTTGCCAATGTAGAGGACTTAATTCGTACTTGATATGTGAATAGACGAGATGGTATAGAAATAAATACATGGAATAATGATACAACGTTTGTTTGTTTTTCTTCACTTCTTATTTATTTGTATTTGCATATATTTCATAGGAATGCTGAAGCTGTTCTATTTCTCGTCACCTTCCTCCTCATTCTTGTCGATCTTATGAGATTTAGTGTCATACTTGATTACTTCCTTGGGGTTCTATGGCATAAAATGAAATGTGGAAATATTTGCAATACCTTCAGTTATGGTGTAGGAAACTATTATGATCCAAACTTAGAAAGACAGCTATGGAGCGGGAAATCTTTTTCTAGCAGACACGTTGCTGTTACATAAGCTATTTCAATTGCTGCAGCACGAGGATTTTATCAGCTACGCTTTGCTGTTCCAAATGGTTACACTCCGATGTGAATGTTTTGGCTCATTTTTGGTTTCAATAATATAATTTTCATGCTGGCTGGGTAATATAAGGTTTATGTTCAACTTAAAATTGATTTCTAATTATCCCAATATCTTCCAGAGGGCTAAACGGCATTTGTCTCCATGAACAAGGCCTCTGCTCCTCAGCCCAGGTGGTCGGCAGTTTCTGTCGGAGATTACAAGGTTAGTTCTTATCTTCTTGAAAGCCCCGCCGTAAGTATAAAATTGGTGTGAAATTGTTCCGTAACATATTCACTAAAAAGTTTAGGACATTTTTTAGAATAAGTTTCTAATTGTTCATACAAACAGAAAGGATCCGGTTGGAACATTATTGTTTTATAAGTACAATGCCCTCATTAAGGGTCTGACTACATCGTGTTAGTAGCATCCTCGGTATTCGCCATCCTCTCGATATCGTCCCTAATACAAGACTGTGATCTATGATGCTCAGGAAGTGTCTTCCACCATTCCGTGAAAGTAGATTTCTTTAACAACATATCATTTTCAATCTCATTGACCCATCTCTTCATCTTCTTCTCCAACTCTAAGATTTCTCTTGAACATTCAGCGTACAATTTGGTTCTGGTTTGGATACGAAGCTCCTCTACCTCTGCCCAAAGAGTCGATACTTCACTCGGCTCCGTCATCTTTTGATTATGTTCGAGCCATCTTTGTGTAAATCTGTAACGTTTCGGCCTTCCTTTTATCATATAAGGACCAGTATCATCATTCTTGGAGTGTCTATAGTAGTTAGCAATATCTAGAGGCTCATAGAGACAGCGAAACCGGGTTCCGATTTGTATCCATTCGTCCTGGCCCTCAAATTCATCCGGGAGCTCGTATCTTTTGAGCATTTCTACGATCTCGTCCCATATACCTGCTTGCTCAAGCCTCTTGATATTAGCTTGGAAGTCCTTCGGATCCTTCTGGAGTTTAAATGCATCATAATATCCCAAACCGTCAACCTTACATACATCTCTGTAATTTTCTTCTAGCCAATTCAATAGTTTCTCGATATCTTGTTTCTTTAGACTCATCCTTTCTTGATTCCTGATTTTCTGCTCTTCGTATGAGCCAGCTGCTCGAAGATTCAATAAAGCTCTCGAACTCTGTAATTTCACAGTCGAAACTTAGAATTCACTTTCGATCACCCATGTGAGAGATAAATAGATAGATAGATAGATATAGAGGAGATTAGAGAACTTACTAGGCCAAGTTCATTCAAAGCTTGTGTTATCGGTGTGTTTCTGCCTGTTAAGGACAACGGGAGCTTATACAATTCATCTAGACGAATAGCGTGCAGGAGCTCCAAGTTCTGTCGCATTTTAGATTCATACTCCCAATGGGCCTTCAAACTCTGATGAGCGATGTTATCACATTCGCTCTCAGAGCTCAACTGACAAGCGAAGAATAGTATTTGTAAAACAGCATCTGGGTTGGTCACCACCACCACTTTCTCACTGTCAGTAAAGAAAATGTAAGTGCCAAAAGGGCTATAAGGACTCAATTTGACAAAGCTTTTCAAAGTGTCTAGCAAAAGGTTAGTGTTTCCCATAAGATGGCAGGCAGCATTGCTTGCCACAGCCGACGCATTCCTCATCACCGTCATGAAGAATTCAGTAGCAACATTCCCATTCGACGCTGACCCGAGTGATCGTGAGTTCAAGGAGGTGAGGATGGTTTGCAGATGTGGTTGCAAGGAAGGTAGAGGAGCTAGATGGATTCGTGGAACGATGTCGTATCTCGTGACGAAGTGTACAAAATGGATGGACCATTTCTCCCTTTTGAGAGCATGGGAGAAAATGAAGTTACCCACAAGAGGAGATCCAAATGTGATGCATTTTGGAGGAGTGAAATTGGTGTTTGTGTTTGAGTTTCTTTGCTGTTCCAACAGCCAAATGGTTGCAAGAATGGCTACCGGACCTCCGGCTGAGTGGCCGGTAAACGCTACAGGCTTGTTCGCTTTGAGAACCTGATAAACAGAATCCGAATTTCAACAGTTAAAAGAAGCGAAGAATACATAGAACGGAAGAACAGGAAAAGGAATAAATTGGGGGAAATTCTGGGAAAAGTAAGTTACCTCCTTGAGCTTCCCCAAAATGGCCTCAAATCGCCGGAAAAATGCGGAATTGACCTCGGCGTATTCATCGAGCCCGATGCTCCTGACGGAGGGGAACAGCTGACGGTTGATCTTTGTCTCCCCGAAGGATGAATCGGAAGAAGAGAACCAGGCTTCCGGTGACCAAGATCCAGCGAAGCTGATGATGGAGAAATCTCGGGTTTTATCAAGGAGAAAGGGCTTATCAGCATGCTTGTGAGCTTTAACGGCGGCCGACCAGGCGTTTCCGATGAGCTCTTCCTTTAAACCAGTGGCGTCCTCCAGCCTCGAGTGAACCATTTTCTGCAGCTCCGATGATGCTCTGCTCTCTGCTCTCTGCTCTGCTGTGGTTTAGATTGACGAAGACTCTGAGTCTTGGACTTCGGGTTGGGAATATATGATAAATTATGGGATTCCCCGTTTACTGCTTGTCGTTTTCGTATCGCAAAAAGTAGTTTTGGATTGGGCGGCTTGTAAAGGAATCGATTAAACATCCACGAACTTTCCACCTTATTTCTCTCGCATGTGAGTTAGAAGAACGCCCGCTTACAGACACCGGTGGGCTCGGCTCAAACGGTTACAAATGAGATTAAAGCCAAATACGAGATGATATACAATATACAATGGACCAAACCAAACAATAGAGTGTATTTAGACGGTTACATCACAATTCAAAAAACTACTAGTAGTAGACTTAGATGTAAAGAGATAAACCGAACAATATTTACTAATAGTAGACTTATAGTCTCATTTCAAACAATAATAAACCCAAAAAGGGAAACAGCAAATGGGGATATAATCTCCCAAATAACCAAACATTTACACAAAAAAAGAGTAACAAATAACTTTTACAACTTGAATTCCATGGTTACGTGAACTGGTCGCCATTGAGGAACCTTGGTTTCTTTGACGAACATGTGATTCGTTGCAGATACCCTTGGCAATGGTCGAAACCCACCATCGGCGGCGGCGGCGGCGGAGACCCAGGAGTCAAGAAGTGGTGATCATGATCATGATCATCAAGACGAAGCTTCCTCTTATGACTAATCTCCTTCCCTCCATTTTCTCCATCCATAATGAAGTAGTCTTTCAGTCGTTTCACATCAGACAATTTCACAGGCTTCACTATGAACTCTTCAGCCCCTTCCTTCAAGCAACTATCAAACAAAACCTTAAAATCCCTCCATTGATTAACAAAACAAGAACATAGAGAAACAGGGGAAGTTCATACTTCTCTATTCGACCCATAATATTCTCTGATGACATTATCACAACAGGAATCTCCCGGAGAGCCGATGATTCCTGATCATACCAATTGTCATCAGCAACCATTGATATAAACAACCCAATCAATCAACAACAACCAACCAACCTTGATCTTCTTCAGCAGTTCATATCCATTCATTTCAGGCATGGAATAATCTGTGATGATGAGATTCACCTTCAAATCCTGAAACCAACCCCCCACCACCATTAAATGCATAATATAAATCATAAGCAAGCAAATTAAAATTGCTTACACTAAACCGGACAGAATTGGTTTCCCCATCCAAACCCAGATATTGAAGAGCACTTCTCCCACTCTCAACAGCAGTCACTGCAAAAACCCCAAATTCAGACCAATCCAATCCAATCCAAAATCAATTCTCAAAACAAACCCATTATTCACCTTTACAAGACGAGATCTTCAGCAACCGCTCAATAACCTTCCGATCGACGAGGCTATCATCAACAGCAAGAACATGAATCTGGGCCAAACCACTCTGTTTCGAATCACCATCAGAAACCCCAACAAGTTGGCCGGGATCCGCCGCCATGGCCGGAGAAGAGAGAGAAGAGAAAAGGGGTTTGATGAGGAAGAGGAGAGATGGGGTCATCTTATAAGGAAATGGGAAATGGTTGGTCTAATTAATGGGCGGAGTAAAAGCAGGGATTCTGAGGATCCAAAATTTCAGCGAGATCATAGTGGAAGGAAGAGGGTTTGTTTATTGTGATTTCATGATATTTGTGAGAGACAGAGCGAATCCAAATCCCGATGGCAGAGAAGATTAGAGAGCCACTTGTCAATTGTCGCCATGATCGGTCAAAACAGAGGGCGAAGGAAGCGAAGCAGAGTCAGAATCAAAGCACTCTGCAGATTGTCCGTACGATCTATACTATTTTATTTCTTATGATATTACTATTTTGAATCCAGTTTTCATTTTCATTTTCATTTTTAGTATAATTTTGTATTATTTAATTCAAAACAATTAAATTAGTGCAGAAGGAGCAGGGGTAAACGAAAATGGCGGCAGCTAAAGAGGAAAGCCGCCCAATGCAGCGGTGCAGAATCCAGAGAACGATACAGTGTCAGGCGGCACCCCGGTGGAGATTCTTTATTCTCAATTCATTCATACAAATTTAAAATAAAAATAAATTTATTTCAATTAAAGGGAGATTATAGTTGAAAAGTATTGGATAATATATCTATAAATCATTCATTAATTATAATTAACACGTTAATTTAAATCAAATTAAAAGATAAAAAGTACTATGGATATAATTAACAAAATTTAATAAGCAAAAGATTTCAGAAGTTATAAATTAAAATATGATAGGAGTCTCTAATTTTTAAAGGATTTTGTTAATCTCTTATTTTAAAATATTATTAAACAATTGAATAGGTTTGACAGTCAAAGGACAAAACAGTCATTTCAGCGAAGCATGCACTAGTAATTTTGAAAAATCGAAAGCGCGCCTGTTGTGCTTTGAATCACGCTCCCTCTTCTCTCAACGGTTCTTCAAATCTTCTGTTTCAAATGATTCCCTCCCATTCTCAACTGCATATAATCTCTTCTTCTCCAATCTTCAATTCCATCGTATAGCTATGGCTAATCTTCTTCTATCGGATTCTTCTTTAAAAGCTTATAGCCGGAAGCAGAAATCCCTCGGTCTGCTCTGCTCCAAGTTCGAGCTCGCCTCTCTTCCTTTAAATTTATCGATTAATTCATATACATCTCGCTTAATGTATCTTCTGGCTTGTAGTTTTTTGAGGTTGTATGATCGAGGTGATGTTCACTCAATCAGCCTCGACAATGCCGCCTCTCGGCTAGGTACGTATGTTCTTACTGCCTGTATTTTACTTTGGTAGTTGGCCGGTGCCTGAATTCAAGAATTTTTGCGACTTTCATTTGCAGGTGTTGAAAGGCGACGGATCTACGACATTGTCAACGTTTTAGAAAGTGTTGGAGTAAGGAATTGGTTGCTGTTGTTTGTTTGTTTGCTTATTTTCTTCGATGCACGTTTTTGTGTTTTTATTTTAGAAATTTTCGTATGATTACAGATTCTTTGTAGAAAGGCCAAGAATCAATATAGTTGGATAGGATTTTCTGGCATTCCAAAGGCACTACGGCACCTTAAGGTATCTGCATTGTTTTGTTAAGATTCATATTTAAGTCTTCTTTTGTTAATGGCCTTGGTTTTTTGTTACTCTCTGTAACAGGAAGAAGATATGAAGGGAAATAACTCTCCCATAGCTGCCTATGATCACTCAAGAGTAGGTCGAATTGTCACTAAAACAGTCCTTTTTACTATTATTAAATTTGTTTTGGATTTCATAATCACAACTTTTTTTTTTTTTGGGAATTAGTTGATAGATGAAGATGAAACATGTTCAGATCTCACTTCTGTGAGCCATGAGTCAATCCCTATGATGTCTAAATCTTCAGCCTCAGTGAGATGTGGTACACTGCAAAGCTTTACTTTAATTCGATTCATTTATCATTTGGAACTGAGGATAGTCACTTTTTGGCAACAACATTTTTCTTATGATTACTGCAATTTTTGTTCCCAGTTTTAAAATTTTGAAATTTTTAATTGCTTTTTCACCTTTTCTCTTTCATTTTTTTTTTTCAAATTGCATCAGAAAATCGGAGGGCTTGCACCCCTTACGAAATGTGTTTTTTTTTCTTCACTTTTCTTTCTTTCTAGTGGCGTCAGAAAACCGGAGGGAAAAATCTCTTGCACTTCTTACGCAGAATTTTGTCAAGCTCTTTGTCTGTTCTAACGTGAGTCAACTGGCAAGATGACAATTTTAATTCAGTGATTATGTTTGTTCTTTTGTGGAAATAATCTATAAATTCGAAACTCTAAATGCAGGCACATCTGATTTCACTCGATGAAGCTGCAAAATTACTGCTAGGCGATACACAAAGTGAATCCGTAATGAGAAGTATGAACCTCTACTGGTGAGAATTTTGAAATATTTTTTTGTTTTAACAGGGTAGGTTGTTAGCTAATTTCATATTGTTCCTTCAACTTTGCAGGCAAAATCAGGCGCCTTTACGATATTGCAAATGTGTTAGCTGCAATTCATCTTATTGAAAAGGTAAAGTGATCTGATCTAGTTCAACCCCTTGGCCAAATTTCTTTCTTTTCTGATCGAAACACACTTCCTAATCTACTTGTGGAAGAATTGACTACACATTTTAAACTTTTGAACCTACAATTGACAGACGCATACCGTTGATACCAGAAAGCCTGCATTCAGGTGGTTAGGATTTAGAGGTAAAGTTGAGAATTGTCGTGCAGGCAAGCCAATTCCATGTGGTTCAAATAAAAGGACTTTTGGAACCGATATAACTAATATCAACTTGAAGAGAAACAAAGTGGTCAATTCATTTGATCTGAATAAGAGCCCCAATTCCCAGAAACATAAGCATGTGCATCTAGAGGGTTGTAGAGTTGAAGTAGATTTGAACCAAAGTGGCAAATTTGAGCGCCATCCAAATTCTAAGAGCTTCATATTTGGACCCTTTTCTCCCATTGCTAGATTGGAAGTTAGAGCTTCTAAAAATGAAGTGAAACGGGTTCGTCATAACTGGGTGAGCCTTGCCTCAACTTATCATCCTCAGTATCAGAACCAAGGTATGTTCCATTCTAATTTCTCTTCAAGTACCTCATGTTGAGTGAACTACTAATTAGAAGACAATAATGAACAGACCAGTAGCTCTCCTTCCTATGATTTTGCAGCTTTAAGAGAATTATTCTCTCATTACAAGGATGCCTGGAAGTTATGGTACTCTGAAACTGTGAACAGATCATCAATACAAATTCCTGAGGCATAAATCTTGTCACCCAACATCGATCAACCAATTATAGCATTGAAGTCATCCTTTTGATGATTGGTTTTTTTTGTAGCTTGGGATCCTTGTCAACCAACATCTATCAAGTATAGTATTCAAGTCGTTCTTTTGTTGAACTGAATTTTGGAGCATAGGGTGCTTGTATGATGCTGGCTGTGCACAGCTTGGCTGTGTCAACTCCGATCTCTGGAGGCCATTGTCATGGTATCGTACTACCATCACAAGATACCGCCTAGGAACCCCTAATGACTTGGAAAGTCTGTGTGGTTGATCAAGCTGAGCTTTCGAATAGCTAGTTTATCTACGAATATGTAGTTTATTGTCTGTATTTTGCATAATTGAATCAATGTAAGCCAATTTCAAACAGATCTCAGTTAAAAGAAGTCTCCAACTTTTGATGCCTCCACATCCGTTTCTCGAGTTGAACATGGGTTATACGAAACAAAAATATACCGACCCTTTTGTTTGGTTTGGTTTTTTCATAGAATTATCTCCTCTTGAACACTCATGTTGAGAGTCTTGTTTGGGAGTACAATGCTGTTTGTCACCACTACTTCGTCCTCAACCGTGACCGCTTCACCTAGACAATAGAACCAATGTTTGCCATGTTAGAACCACAGCCATGAAATACAGAAACTTTTTTTAAGAGCAAAAGTAAGGTAAAGGGTAAAAACCTAGAATTGTAACTCCCCGCTTTGCATAGTAATCTCCATCAGCCTAGAAGTAGCATAAGAGGTTCAAAACCCGACTCACTTATGAATTAAAAGTGGCTTACGACGACTCACTTATGAGCTTCTTCATGGAGCAATTAAAACCCGAAAACAAAACAAGAAAGCACATATCTCGACTTGCCTGTACACGAGACCATCGACCAATGGAAGATTTCCACCCAACAATGGCGTGAATGACAACTGCATTATCCTGACGAGCCAAATGAAAATAAGCTTCGAGTTGAAGTCCAAATTTTATTTACAAAAATAAATCCATACTTGAATTTCAACATCATCAAGGATGATACAGCTCATGAGCCTAGAACCAGCTCCAATTCGAGCATTAGCTGATATTGAGACATTAGGACCAATCTGCATAACGACATAGACGAGAGGCCAACTTAAAAATTTAACCTAATGAAAGTAGAAAAATAACAAAATTAACTACAGGATTTGGAAGGTTACCTTGGCTGTTGGATGTACTTTAGCTGAAGGATGAATATAAACATCCCCAGTGATGATAGCGTTTTTCGTACCATCTCCACTTGCCAATAGGTCGGGGGAGGTGACCCGGTATTGGAGGAGATATAAGCCAGAGCATTTCAAGGACATTCTGCAAGATTTCACACAGAAAGATGTGCGTATATTTTTGAACGGATACAAATGAATCTTAAGAGAATGCATGTTTTGAATACGACGTACGCAGGCGTTTTGATTTGTTCCCAGAAGTCCATAGTTTCATACGTATATAACTGTTTCTTCCCTGCAAAAGGCGATAGGATGTCTTGATCCAATCTTACATAGTCTTTCGGCAAGCTCCTGTAGACGAACTTTATATTATGAGTAACATATATTTTTATATGCAGCTTCGTACATACGGCTAGGTGGCCGTGCTGAATCTAAATAAAAATTTCAATATAAAGAGAAGGATTCAACCTTGTTGCTGCAGATTGAAGGGCTTCAAAGCTAGATAATCGACTTAAATTCGCTGCAAATTACATATAAGAGGTAAGTGAGAATGACTTAATTATAAAAAAATTTCACTGCTTTCATGTAGTCGCCCCGATTACTCACCTCTCTCTTTCCGCTGCGTGGAAACGCCTTGTATTGCAGAAAATATATCCGGTGTAAATATGTAGACACCGCAGTTTATAAGATCGCTCACCTGTTTTGGAAACAAAAGCAGGGGAACACGATTGAAAACTCAACCTCAAGAGACAGTGTTAGTGAAACTGATATGTTTTGATGGTTAGCATACAAAAGTTTCGGGTTTTTCCGCATAGTGAAGTAGTTCATTTGTCGTTGGATCGGCAACCAACTCTCCAAACTGGTGAGCTGCCTCAGCAGAAACCTAAAGACAGAATAAGGATAAAGGCCATCATTGAATATGAACAGATAACTTGTAATGGTAAGAGCTTGAGTGTGTTTACTTACTCTGATTACAAGGATTGTTCCCATCCCTCCATATCTTTTGTGAGCATCTGTACGAAATTTAAAGGACGATCATATTGGTCGTAAAGACGTATTAGGGTGAGCATTTCAACCGTTTCTTGGGTGAAAATCAATCTTAACTAATACGAGCACGAGGGGGTCGGGGACAAAAAATTGGATCAAAAGAAAACAAGTAAAGCTACCTAGCATTTGCGGGAGTGGAAAACTCGAGCAAACGTCGCAATTCAGCAAGAAGATATGCGACTGGAAACAAGATCATAGAATCATTAGGAGGTCTGAAATGCATTGATGGATCATAATCCTAACAAAAAGGAAGAACAACTTGAGGGAAAAAAGAATTGGACAAGAACAAGTGAGATTAAGAACCGGACTGTCTTCCATGATCAGATCTCTGAAGTGAAAAAGGCCACCGGCAGAACCGTGAGGCTTCTGTTCCTTCAAATATCTAATGACCACCACAACAACATCATAGAAATTCAAGAACAAAAAACGAAGAGATTAACATAACTTAGTGTAGATTTTGAAGGGAAATGGGTACCTAATAGGAACTTTGAGTTCATTAGAAATGGAAGATAAATACAGTGCAAATTCACGCTCCTCATAGAAGCCAATAAGAAAAATCTGAGCCAGGTTTGGAATCTGTAAAAACAAACAGAAATTGCAGGATCTTGATGAACAGAGATGGCCTCAGAGTAAGCATTCAGCAATCAAATGAACAGAGATGAACACATACCCTTTTACAAGCAGAAATTGGGTGATGCACCATCGGCTGTCCCGCCAAAGGAAAAAGAGGCTTCGGAATATTCAATGACAGTGGTCGAAATCTAGTTCCTGTTCATTACAATATGAACAAAGTATTTCAAGAATATGTTGTTTGAATCCAGATGATAAAGAACATATTGATCAATTTAAAGGCCTCAAGAAGCTTCCCTCCAAAACAAAATGGGAAGAAGTTAGGAATTCATATACCTTTAGTGGGGCCGCCGACCATGATCACAGCAACAACCTTCTCCTCTGCGCTCCCCATCGCTAATCGAAGTAAACCCAGATCCCTAAAACCCAATACCGCCGCCGACTGATCTCAACAACAAGAAAATGATATGGGAAATCCAAGTAAATTGATAATTTAGGTAAATATGCCCAACCCAGAAAATGATATGGGAAACCCAGAAATGGTATTGTGAACAGAATCTCTGAATTCAGGGAGAAACACAAACAATCAAAGAACAGCGAAATGAAACGTTGAGAAATACAAGCCGTGGAGATTCGGGATTTGAATTAATGCAGTACTTCGCCAGTTTCTTACGATATGTGGCCAAATTCCAGCCAGAACAATCAACTTTCCAACTCTTTGTTACTCTCTCTCTCTCCACTTTTGGAGGCAGCGTTTGTGCAAAAAGAGAGATCTGTGGACGCCAACCAGTGGAAATTAATGGCAGAGTTAGTGATATTGGGTTGCCCATCGTCAAGGATTGTGTTGGCCCACTTAAGTCAATGCCAATTTGACTCAACCTTGTGCATTTGTCGGTTGAAGGAAGGATCCAGGATCATTCCTCGCATCAATTTTACCGATCCCATGATTTGATCACACCCCACCAAGAACTGTATATTATACGACAAATTTTGATACCGCATCAGGGTCTTCTTCTTCATACTGCTCAACAAAACTTCGCCTGTAAGATTAAGCGTCTGCAGATTTTCCTTTTTGTTTTTGAGTATTTGGGCTGTCTTAATTCGTTGCATTAGAATAAAGAATGATGAGGGAAGAACTCATTGGGTTTGAGAAGAGGGAATGAAGGAGAAGATGAATATTGTAATTATCTTGAGTGGATCTTTGCTCATCTTGAAGAATGTAATTATCAACTTTACCACCAATACTTGGAATGATTTGGTTAACAGATCTCTGATGATGTCTATCACTATCATAAAGGGTAAATTTCTTTTTAGGAAAAAAGGGGCAATGAGGATGAATATTGTATTGTAATTAAGTTTAATTACAAATTTGATCTCAAATACTTGACATACAGTTTTAAAAAGTGGTTGCTTATAATATAAGGTTAAACATTATTTAGAGTTGAAGAACTCACCCATGAACAACGTTGCTTCTGGATTAAGATGCGAATATCATGAGATTCCAGACAGATGTCTCCCTTTACAGCCAAGTTTGATGAATTTTATTGGTTAAATTTGAAGTTTGAGGAAAAAAGCATCTCAATTCTAAGGATATCTCAGAATAAATTCTACAATATTTTACCACAGAAGAAATCCTTGTTTCTTCTCATCTTTTCAAAGCCAAGATTTCAGTATTATTAGAGAAGAAGACTGAAAAGAAAGTTACCGTCTATGAAAATCCTTTTTGAGGCTACCAACAAGTGCATTTTCTATCGAGTTACAGTCTACTGTTTTCAAGTGATTCATCGAGTTCTTAAACACATCCTAAACTGAACTAACCAGGAAACTCAGGGCGAAGCACTACACACTTGAGCAAGAGTTTCTTTCCCCTACGTTGTTCTTCCAACTACACAAAGTTGATTGTCGCAGTGCTCTTATTATTCTGAACGGTTCTGCAACTTTTTGACGCAAGAGAGGCAGGCTCGTGTTGTGTTCTACAATTTAGAAGGAGACTTGTACCATCCCCATGGTTCATCGGAAACATACTCAGTAACCTGCTTTACAGTCAGATAATTATCAAGTCCCCTGTTCATCCAACAAATGAAAGAGAAACAGTCAGTAAATCTGCTTATCCGATGTTTACATTTTCAAGGAAAAGTTCAGCTAATGAGTTATTTGAAAATCGGGTTTCAATGCTATTTCAACATAAACCTATGTTGTAACTGGAATAGTTTCTAGAACAATTTCCAGAATATAACCCTCAAATTTTCGTTTCTATATAGGCAAACTTATTTAAACGTAGTTTAAAATGCAAAATATACCATTCCCCTAGTTCTCGACCAAAGCCACTGCGTTTGTTGCCTCCCCATGGGGCTTGAGTGAAGCATGGTTGCGAGCAATTAACCCACACAATTCCTGCCTGTAAAGCCTGTAGGAGAAAGAAACAAGGAAGCACACATCGTTCAGAAATGCAGACATTATTCATTTGCATATACTATTACATAGGCGCTTGATGATTGCAACCCTCACCTTGGTTACACGCTCACACCTTTCTAAATCATTTGATATTACAGCAGCACCTAGCCCATATCTGTGAGAAAGAGCAACTGAACGTCAGAACCCAGTTTCCAGCTTAAACCAAGCTGCGTAGAATTTTACTTACATTGTATCATTTGCTAATTCAATAGCTTCATCTTCAGAACTAAAGGTCTTCACACATAGAACAGGTCCAAAGACCTCTTCTCTCCATAGTTGCATGGAGGTTGTAACATTAGTAACGATGGCTGGTTCAACGAAGTATCCCTTCTTTAGGTGCTAAACATTGTAGTGACAAATTTTAATTAGTTACAAATATACAAAAAGAAAAAAAAGTAAAAGTGATGCTTAAAAATCAAGTGTTACCTTAGGGCGAACTCCACCAAATAGAATCTTCGCACCTTCGCGCTCAGCAGTTGAGACGAAGTTCAGAACTTTCTCATACTGAATTTTAGATTACCAAAAATTAGTTCAAGATCAAACAGTAGCGCAGACATAATATTCTAAACCAGAATGAATTGCATAAGTTGCACTCTTTAACTTATCACTAACCTTGTATAAATATTCTTAGCAAAGCACATTTTGTAGGTTAAATCCATGAAACACATCAATAAATGTACAAATATTCTTTAAAAACAAAGTATCCCTACCACGTTCTGTCCTATTATTACCATATCCGTGTCCTATATTTTATATTGTGACAGCAGATTGCTTTTCTTTTCTGTCATAATGAACTCAAAAAATAGAAACATATCCTTCTCTTACCTGTCCCGCACTAACAACAGGGCCAAGCCTGCAACCTTCTTCTAAAGGATCTGAGATCTTAATGTTCTGGCACCACTTCACGAGCCTATCCAAGAATTCATCAGCAATGCTTTCCTGGAATAGCAGAGAGAAAAATTAAATATTTCTAAATTAAAAAAAATATATATCAAAAAAATGATCAGCTTATTAAATATTTCAGAAAATTACTCTACCAGTTGGCCTTAATACACAATTATCCTAGGCTAACAACATCTCCTGTTTCATTAAACCCAGAAGATCCCGCCAAAAAAAAAACATCTACATCCTTGACACAACTAAGGAGGAGAAAGTTCGTATATGATAGAAACAAATAATATTTAATTGCATATCATCTAGGTTATTCTACATACATGTACAAGCAGGCGGGATGTGGCACTGCAAATCTGACCATTTGTCCAAAAGCAACCAAAAATCGTCCATTCGGCAGCTATAAATCATAGGATAAGAAAATTAGTGAATAATATCAAAATCAAGAACAACATAGATCTGATACACAGAGTACAAGGTAGCTCCCTTTTCACAAGGTAAATTTTTAATTAACCATGAAAAACTAAAGTCCATGATATGAAAATTGTTCTCTGAAGTTACTGACCCTTGTCAAGGTCGACATCATCAAAAACAACAATTGGACTTTTCCCACCAAGTTCCATAGTTACAGGCTGCCAAAGAAAACAGGTAAAGATAAAATACATCAAATGGTGACATAGAACTTCTACTAAGCAAATGTATGTAAACTGTGCTGAAATTCAACCTTGACCAGTTGGGCAGCTGCTGTCATAATCTTGCTTCCAGTAGCACAACTCCCAGTAAAAGCAATCTATCATCAATTTTTTTTGTATTAATTAGACAACATTTTATCTTTAACAATCAAAGTAGATGCCCAAAAGCAATAGCCATACCTTGTCAACGTGAGGATGAGATGCTAGAGGAGCACCAGCTTCAGGGCCAAATCCTGTCAAAATATTCAAAATACCAGATGGAAGACCAACATCTTTACAGATTTCGCCCAGTTCCAAACAGGTGCTGCCCAAAAAAAAAAAAGAGGAAAGAAAAAGAAAACTCATATGTAATAACAAGAATACCACAAAATAAATCAAGTTCATACAATTAATAACCACTTACACAGATGCCAGTTCTGATGGCTTCAATATTGCAGCACACCCAGCAGCCAAGGCAGGTGCAACTTTCCATGCAGCCATCAATAGAGGATAGTTCCTTCAATGTAAAAGACAGATATCAGCAAAGTTTGTGCTTATCGAAAAATTAGAATGATATTGGTTCCTAAAGAGGAGGACAAGAGAGAACATAACCAGATCCGACCCTGGAGGTTAATAACTAATAACGTCCCAATGTATGCTTCTCGTTCAAATTAACAATAAAATGAGAACTGTAAAGCAGAGTTACTCAAGTTGGGTAACATATCCATGATCACAAGTATTGAACATCCCAGCATTTAGATACATGTTGAACCACATGTTAGACTATCCAACATTCAATCCTTGTCGTACATGTATCAAACACTTGTTAAATAGATATAACCAAATGCGTTAAATCCTTTATACAATTATTTGTAGTAAAAAAATCAATCCAAGTAAAATATATATGTATATAAAAGAGAACAACATCACATTTTGAGAGTGAAAAAATTCAGAAGAATGACTCTAACGAATAAGGAAAATTTTATATAAAAGAATTAGCACTTGAAACTATGACTTGACCCTTCTACATTATTGGTGAAGAAATTTTGGAATATTTGATATCTTAAGGTTTAAGTTAACGACCAGTTGTTTGAACCTGGATTGAAGAGTCTTCGTCACCATGTTTGAAATCGACAGTTTCTTGGTTGAGTGACAAGAGTTGACCATGATTTATAAAATGTTTAACAACAATAACTCTAATACTTCCAATAAAATCAGAGAAGCTAAATAGCAGTGAAGAACCAAAAGAAGAAGAAGAAGAAGAAGAAGAAGAAGAAGGATCAACAAGTACCAGGGAGTAATCAACCCAACAACTCCAATGGGTTCTTTAAGAACATGGCTTTTGAATGTATCCATGGGAACGGAAACAGGAGCTTTTTGCTTAGCATCCAACCCTTCGGCAAGATCTGCATAGTACTCGAAGCACCCAGCAACATCATCCTGTACAATATTAACAAACATTGACGGCAATGAAAATTGTTACAACCAACATATATCTTCAACTTTAAGAAACTGCCATACAATGTCCCATGCAGCTTCCTCCAGGGGTTTTCCACAGTCTATTGTTTCGAGCTTTGCTAGTTCCGATTTCCTCTCTGTTATCTGTGAAAAAAATAGCAAACAGGGTTCAGGATGGACGACAATAACACCATGAAGATAGAAATTAAAGTTGAAGATATATATAATATAACTTCCAAAGTAATTAAAACTACTTGATTCTTAAAATATAAATGCGACTCCAACAGAACTCCTGCAAGGCGATTAACAAGAAGGTAACATTCCTAAGACGATACATAGACCAAAAGAAGGCTCTATCCAGATATCTAAGTTTTCAATGAACTATGGCGGGAAGATGGATGGTATCATATTTCTCTGATCTATTGAATCGCATCAGAAATCAATCCATTGTTTCAAGCCACTAGAATCGTAAATAAGTAACAAAAGCATCAAAGATCCATAACCTCCGTCCGATAGTAAAACAGAGACCAGATCACAATCAAATGAAAGTAAAACATCCATATGACCGTCTCACCTTAGCAGCAATAGCACGCAAATACTTGGCACGAAGAGCCCCCGAAGCAGATGCCCAATCTTTGCCTTTATTCCTCGCAAGAGCTTTTCGGGCAGCATCAACTGCTAACTCTACATCTTCCGCAGTAGCCGCGGGAATAGATCCTGAAGCATAGTTGGTAATAACACAAATGAGAGATTCAACCACTTTTAAACCACCTGATCCTCGAACTAATTACTTCTTCCGTCTACCGATCCGCACAACGATTAGAAATTGGCAAACAAAATTAACGAACAGTCATAAACAGAGAAGTTGAGAAGAAGAGACCGATTGTTTCTTCAGTGGCGGGGTTGACGATGGGGATGCGTTTCTTGAGAACTGGTTCCCTCCACTCGCCATCGATGAATAGCTGCCGACTGGGAATAGAAATCGCCATTTATGCAGAGCTCTTCTCTTTAGTGCAGTGGAAAAAGTAGTCGGATTGATAATGAATTCGACATGGATCGATCAATATAAATACGAAATTTTCGGTATTTTTCGTCCGTATTGGATTTTTCTTCTGCAATTTTTTCTTTGAATTAATTCGATACTTTCCGATCTCGAGAGGATATCTTCTCGGAAGATAATCAAATTATTGGGTAACTTAAATAAGAAAAATAAAATTTATGAAAATAAAAATACAAACAATCTCTTACACCAAAGATATTATAGAAATCACATTGTTTTTTAACCGTTGTTGAGTAGGTCATAATAAGCATTAAAGATGTGTACTTTTTATTAAAAATAAATTTATATTAATTTTGTATAAAATTTATTGAAAACTTGAATATTTAACATAAAAAATAATCTGTTCATTTTCTAAACAATTTTAAAGATAATAGGATGTTTTTTAAACGATAAATTTAATACAAATTTGTCTCCTGTAGTAGCAATTAATGTATATATTTAATTTTGAAGCAATTAATGGATATATTTAAGTTTTGTTTGTTTAAAGTATCGGTTTATGATAATACAAATACCCATTTTAAAGTTTAAAGATGCATCAATATTAAAATATATGCATTTATAAAAACATGCGAATAAAAAAATAATACAGCTTTATTAAAAGCAAGAGCCAAAAGCAGGCCACACCACCCGTCCATGTGGCCCTCCTATTTTTTTATTATTTTTTTTTCTTTTTGTAGGGAGGATCCACTACATACATACATAGATATACATATATACATATATACATACACAATATATATATATACCTACATACATAGATATACATATATATATTTCCTCGTCAGACCCCCTTAAAAAATGTCATAAATTAGTCAATTTAAATATAAATCGGGAGGTAAGCAAAAATTACAATTTTAACCTCCACTCTAAAATATTCAACTAAAAAAATCTATAAATTACTTAAAAAATAATGTACAGACTCTTACATTTATTTAAATTTGAACTTGTTACATGTTTTTGTTTTTAAAAACATTATTATATGCAAGATTTTATTTTATCAAAAGTTGAGAAGAACCGGTGTTGAACTTGAATTTAATTTAATGAAAATTAATATATTTATAAAAAAATTCTCAAAAATTGAATTGAGGAAAAATCTAGGGGTCAAAATCTCCACCTTCACCGCTAATATGATTTCCAGTAAGCATCAGAAGATGCGATTCTATCCCTGCTTGATATATGTTACTGATGCGGAATTCTCAGATTATAATCAAATTCAAACAATCGAATCTGAAGGAAGTACGAAATTTAACAGCGATAAACAATAACGGAATCAAAACAAGAGGAAAGAGAAGAACAGAGATCAAATCATATTAACAAAAGAATAATCTATGGTGTATCTGTGTCTATATATAACCAGCAGACAAAGAAATAGAAAAAACAAGATATACAGCTCAGAGATAAGCTATGGAGACGATGATGATAAGAAAAAGAAAACCAAAGAGCAAGAGAGGAGTAGAGTACGAAGGATTTCTACTTCTTATGAGCGGTTTTGTTATATTTATCTTTGATCCATTGGAAGCCGAGAGAGGTTCCTTCTTTGACCTTTTTAACGCCATTGGAGGCCACAGCTTTGGTCTTCCCAAGGCCTTCGCCGACCTTCTGTTTATACTTAGTCGTAGTGTTTCCGCCGCCGCCGCTCTTCTTCTTGGTCTCCGTGACTACGTCCTTCGAGTCGCTGTAATCCCACTGATCCGCCCAATCGTACGAGCCGTTTCCCGCCATGGATTTGATTGATATTGATTGATTCTGGCTTTGAAAATCTCTGCTACAAAGAAATCTCAGAAGGCCGAGGGGTTTGTGTAATTTCTGGAGAAAGAAGATGAAGAATCTGATAGCAAAGAGAGGAGAGAATCGAGATGAATCGACGAAAAGGTGTGAGACGAAACAGGGTTATATAGGTACAGAGAATCTGAGTCGAAGCCCAAGCGCGTGCCGTGTGGGTTGCGATTACAAGTCATACAAATTTTGCGTTCCTACTGTGGAAATGGAATATCCAAATACTTGTATCAAAATTGATGAACAATTCTATAGTTATCTATCTACTAGGTTTTTACTTTTAGGGTTGGCCCACGTGGGTACAGGATAATGGAGATTCCAGAAGGTTCTAAAGCATTAAGTCGTTAACTAATCACCGCCAACCTTACCTTACAGTCGGTCACCGCCTACGCCATCAGAGTTGGGCCATTTCTGGGAAGCAGAGGTATGCTCTTTTCATGCTTTTTAAACTAAGGAATATGTATATCCTGGTCAAGCAAGGAAGGCCGGGAAAGTTTTGACTTCTCAATATTAACAAATTAAATTTTGTCTTCTTTGTATTTTTCTAAATTTCTAATAATTTATAGCATTTGATCGTAGCCATTCAAATCACACGTGTTATGTTGATCCTGTAATCTCCCTCGTTGTCAATATTAGTCTATTGAATCCTAAGTCCAAATAATCATTATCATAACTATGTACCAAATGTGTACGCTATATTAGAATATATTTTATATAACCCTAATCAGTTATGATTTTTTAACTAGTCCTTCAAGATTTTAAAACGCGCCTATAAGGGAGAGGTGTCCACCTTTGAGCTTTCTCTTTGGTGCTTCCTCTAAAAGTTTTAAAAGGCTTCAATTAGAAAAAGGTCTCCAACCCTTACAAGAAATATTTCGTTCGTCTGTTTGTGACATCTTATATTCCTCCTCTAAGCTGTCAAATCACATGGTTATTTCAGTTTTTGCATTCCACTCATAAGGTAATAATTTGAGATTAGTCAGCATACAATTGGTAGAATGGACTTGAATTGAACCCTGTTTTTCCTCCTCTTCATTGTGGGCGAGTTGCTTGGCGCGTTGTAGCCAAGGTCCGAGAAGAAATCCCTCGTGACAAGCCAATGATGTGTCCGTGTCTATATCATTGACAAGATCAAGGAAGTCCTGGCTCAAGCTGGCCATTCTTTGAGCATCATATAAGGGATATGCTTTGACAATTCTAAAGAACAATTCATTCGGGTGTGCGGCTCTAAACTATATTTAATTTAAGCTATTTGATGTCAACTGTCAGCTTTCCGCCGATGGAACATGAATACAACTGGCAACCAAGTAAATGAGTCATCATATTTATAAATCATAATAAAATATGTGTACCTTGACATCAGCTTTGTTGCGTTGAAAAGCCATTTCAGACACAAGATCGTAGACAACAGGATTCTGTTCTATTCCTTTCATGGACACTGCCATCCCAACCTTCAAATGAAAAATGAGCATTATTGAAAGATTTAAATACGTGACAAGGTATTGTAAGTGGCAGAGTGGTCTAACAATCACGATCCACTGAGATACAATCTTTCGTTACTACAGTTTGTACAAAAAATTTAAAGAATGAGCAATACTAAATACCCTAATCTTCCATCGCTTTTCAGTTCATCTCTTAAGAATTACAGAAAATCCTTATACATCATATACTCGAAATCTAAGCTAAGGTACTGATGGATGAGAGAAAGAGAGTACCAAAAAATTATTGGTGTTAATATCAAATAATGGTAGATGATAAACTTACCACAGTCAAGTATGGACTGCAACGAGCTTCAATTGGTCCAGATACTATTGAATCCAAAATGGCATACATACTAACATTTCCAGCGAACTTATGTATCATGCACTTGCAAAAGGCAATTCATAGCACACAGCTAACGAAACAATCAATCAACTAAGTCTTAGCTGGGCATGAAACCTAAACCACTATGCATGGTCCGAGACAAGACAACAGGATTAACGAGACATACAGTTTTTCTTTGAAATTTTTGTAACACCCTAAAGTCAGATAAATTACTGTTCTAATCTGCAAGCTAAATGAAACTGCATCCCAAAATTTACTTGTTACTAGTATGCAGGAAATCATCTTGTAAAATAAAAACACGAAGAAAACATCGAACCGCTGATAATTACATTACTTTTCCATAAGCCGGCTGAAATTACATTGAAAATGGCATAATTTGATAGTAGTTCATAGGAATGCGAATCATAATTTCATCACCTTGGAATACGAGGTTACAGGCCTGTTTTATCCCAACAGTCGTGTGCACCACACCAGTGCTTTAGAGACCAGTGCAAGCCAGCTAAAATCCACTCCAGTTACCCCCAGCAATTCTGGTACAAGGTTGGAAATCGAGTTCAAGTCAAAAAGTAAGATCGATTATAATTTCAATCTACGATCCTTCATTTACATAATAACAAGAAGCATTGAGAAGCCTAAATCCTATTTCAAGGGCCGATTAGATCGAGGTGAACACAATTAAAAAGAGAAGCGAAAAGTTTCTACATACAAAATTTCAGCATCCATGTGTCTACTGAACGCGCGATGATTCCTGATTACTAAGCAAAATCCCCACTACATTTGTCCTCGAAAAAATGAACGTCCAAAAACCGCGAGAAAGATGAACATTCAAAATAGAGACTAGAATCAGACTACACTTCAAGTACATAAGAGTTCTTTCACTTCCTAAACTTCCCAGCATCGGACAAATCTATACCGCTGCGCCATCTTCAAACAAAAAACATCCTCTGTACTGACACAGAAACATGTAAAAACCGACCAGCCAAGTTACTTAGAGACAGATTGAAAGTCAAAGCCGCAGCAACTTGGACATGCGCAGGCGCCCTCTAGCGATCCTGAATTTCAAGAAGCAGCGAAATGAATCCAACTCCGATTGTGAACAAGGCGGGGAATAAGGAAACTGGCAGGAAATGAGAAACAGAGATCAGAAGTGGATGTAGAAAGTAGAACCATCGGCATGGTGGTTGGTGACGCCGAGGAATCCTGAAATGGCGATCGGTTTTGAAGAGTTCTAGTGACTACTAGACAACGGCAATGGCGGGCGGTATCTCGACGAGAGTGGAAGAGCGCGCAAAATGGAAACGGGAAGTGGGCTGTGGGGGCCTCTTCATCGACATCGAACAGGGCCGTCGACTTGGGCTTTCGGTCCACGCTAATTCGACCAATGAATAGATGACGTGGCAGGAAAGTGGACTCTAATGACGTGGCAAAATTGAAATTTTGTTAATTACATCCATTACTATAAAATCCAATTTAACTTGAGAAAAGTTAGATAAAATAACCCATCTGTACGAAACTACGTTAAAATTCCGTTGTAATTACCCATCAAATCTTCCAAATATGGACGGTAAAAATCCATTAATTACAGTGTTTACAAAACAAGAGCAAACCCTCGCCCAATAATCCAAACGCAGAACAACATTTCATCAAAACGGCATCGTATTAGCCGAGCTGGGAATCCTTCCACCTCCCATCCGGTACCCAGTCGAACTGAGTCCACCTCTCTCGAAACTCGACTCGCCTCCACGATCGCCGTCGTCAACCGATCTCCCTCTCGTCCTCATCCTCTCCAATATCTTCTTCGCCTTCTCCCTCGCCCTCTCGCTTCCTCTTTCAATAATCTCCCTCAAAACCTCCATTGCTCCGGCTTCCTTCGCCAATCCCTTGAATCTCATGCTTCCATAGCTCAGTGCGTACAATGCCGCAACGCAATTCTCGCGAGCCGATTCGGAGTCCAGCTCTTTCTCCCTCAGCATTCCGACCAAGAGCCCGACGGCATCGGCGTCCAGCATTGCTGATCTCCCCTCCTGGCACACGGCGATGTTGCAGAGGATCAGCAACAGCCAGTTCGTTGAGTTTCTTGATTTCACCATGGAAAGAAGAGTCGTTACGGCGCCGAGTTTCACGAGCTTCACACGGTTGCTTTGTATCATTGTTAGGTTGTAGAGACATAGAGCGGAAACGTCTCGAGTTCGCTCGTTTTCCGATCGGAGTGCGTAGAGGAGCGGCGGCATTGCGCCGAGAAATCCGATCGCCATCCGATTATCGTCCTCTAAGGCTAGACTAAAGAGCGCTTCGGCGGCGTGTTCTTGCGTTTCAGTATGTCCTCCTTTTAGCGCGTCGATTAAGTGTGGAACCAATCCTGACCGCGCAATCTTTAGTTTGTTTGGCTTTTCGAGGGAGAGATTTACCAGAGAGGCGACGGCGTTGATCTGTACTTTGGGGTATCTCGAGGTTACCAAAGAATGGAGAGATGAAAGAATCCGAGGCGTACAAAGCGAAACCCTAATATTCTCATCGGCTTTCGTGACTTTTCTTAGCGAAACAATACCTTCTTCTTGCTCAAACACATCAGGACTCTCGAGCTTCGCTAAGAATTTATTCTCTTCTTCCCCAATCGATGAATTCGGTCCTAAGGCTTGGATGAGCGCGTTGTTTCCCACATTTTCGGAGGAAGAAGACGAAAAGGAATAACGCACAGGTCGAATCGTGAATGGCAGAGGAGTTCCCGGACTTCCTCCGACAATAACAGATTCCTCGGAGGAGCTCGTGTAGAAATGTTCTGGACGGCGGCCATACTCCGTCGCGGCGTGCGAAAAATTCATCGATGGCAAATCTGATACTCCCTCCAATAAATCCCTATCCGACAAGTCCCTAATTCCGGTCCGAGGCTTCTCCTGCTCCAATAATGCACTGACAAGCCTCTCAACGGAGCTGTAATCAGGCGCCTGAGGATTCCGAGCACCGGACTTCTCACACCAATGGAGAATCGTCTTCTTCATAGCCAAATTCGGAATCACAGTCGAGAAATCTGGCTTGGCTCCATCCTCTAACACAGGGGAGAACCCCAAATTTCTGCAAACCTGCGCAGAAACACGCTCAAATGTCTGTCCAGAAGAGACGACAACTGGGTCTGCCATTAACGAACAAGAAACTGGACAGATGAACTCTTTAGGAGGCTCGTTCGATTCGACCCTAGATTTACGACGATGGAGGAAGGAGAATTTCCACCGGAAATTGCCATTGCCATTGCCATTGCCACCCATACATACAGAACCACAAAAACAGAATTTCTGAAATCCAAAATTGAGCAAGAACCTAACTGGCATCCAATTATACAATGATTTGAGTAACGAAAAAAGAGAGAAGTAAGTGTACCGTGAGGAGAGGGTCGAGTGCGTTGCTTTAGGGCTCAAGTACAGTGGATCGCAGCTGGGTTTGTTTTCGTGGGTCTGATTTTTTTTTTATCGACTTTTTTCTTTTTATTTTATTACAATCTTTAATTTCTTTTTTACCTTCTATTATATGTAAACATATGTAAATGGATAAATATTAAATAAAAGTTAATACACGACAAATAAAATTGGATTAGGATATTATATATTAAAATAAATATTATTGGGGAGGGACCCACGTTAATGTACTCGGAGCAACGTAGTCTCGTCCTCTAGAGACGGCACAGGCCATGCTCTACTTTTTTGGGTTTGAGTTGGGGTTTTGGTTGGAATTATAACGTTCGCCACTTCCATGTGTTTTTTATTTTTTAAATTTATACTTTTTGCTTATGGCTCTTTAAACATGAGTATAGAAAATAGCATGTAAAAATTAAAGTGTTAGAATTATTTATAACTATGCAGTAGATTGAATAACTTATTACATATATAAAAATTACGTTAAAGTTATTTATATAACTTTCATCTCATTTGAATATTAATAATATTAAAATGTATTTTTTTAAAATATAATTTATTACGTTAAAAGGGAAAATGTAAACGAAATTTATAAGTAAGAGATATTTTTGAATTATTTGATTTTTTTTCTCTTCTACATACTTCTCATTTTTACATTTGATGATGTAACTAAATAAATAAAAAGGCAAAAAATGAGAAATCTCGCACGGAATTCAAAGAGATGGATTATTATTATTATTATTATTATTTAGGGAGATGTATATATATATTTCAATTACCATTTTTACATAATTGTGATAGCAAGGAGACCATAATTTTTTTTTTTTTTTTTATGTTTTTAGAAAAATATGGAAAATATGACAGCAAAGAGACCTGATGGAGTTGAATTCGAACCTTTTCTAGAGATATTTTTTATATCACATTTCCTATTTTATTATAATTTAGTTTAGTTAATTAGATAAAACATAAATATCTATTGTATCCAAAAAAAAAATTCTGTATTTTCTAAAATAATTCAAAGTTTATATTGAGGGAAAAAATTAACTTAAACAAATACCTTATAGTCCAAATTTTTTATGGTTTTCCAACAAATAAAAAAAAATTAAAAATCAAGATCCATGAATATCAATGAGATTGGGTTAAATTATGAACAAAATTTTGAAGCAAAATATGTTTGTTTTTATATTACAATATGTTATTCAGGTATTAATTATCATATTAATTTGAAGGTTTAAAAGAAAAAACTTACAAAACTCTTACTTTAATAGGGTAATTGGAAAAGTATTGAAAATGCCAAAAAAGAAAAAGAGAAAAAAAATGAAAGGCCCTTTCTTAAATTCAACGAGAAAAATTCAAACTAGGACATCAATCTCGCCGCACATAATTTCAAAAAAGATTCTTCCATTATTATTATTTTATTTCATTTTATTTATGCTTTTCCATCACGGACCTTATCTCAAATTTCATGCATTAGATAGTTTCAATTTCATACGCCAAAAAAAAAAAAAAAAAAAAAAAAAAAAAAAAAAAAAAAAAAAAAAAAAAAAAAAANATAGTTTCAATTTCATACGAAAAAAAAAAAAAAAAAAAAAAAAAAAAAAAACTCAAACTCAACAAATTATTATTTTTAAAATTTATTATTCCATATAGTTTCCTATATTCAGTGAGTGATTTAAAAATAAGAAATTCAATGAATTTTTTTTTAACAGAATTTCTATTTATATAGTTTTAAATTAAATCTCAACAATTATTAATCAATTAAGGAATATGCTCTCTATTTTACTGATTTTTATTTTAACAAAATCATGTGTTTATCACATAAAATACTAAATTATCGAAGTTTTTTTTTTTCTTATTTAAATATATTTTTACCTTTTAAAACATCAAAGTTTAAATATAAATACCCTAAAAATATAAAAATATGATTGACTATAAATTAAAAAAAAAAAAAACAAATATTAGCAAAATCAATTTAACTCCAGCACATAAAACAGCATACCAAATAAACACGGGCTCATTACACATTAAACAGGTCCTAATGAAAATTGTAGCAATTCAAATAGAAAAAATATATAGAGAGAGAGTAATAGGATTAATGATGATAAATTGCTTGGTAGTGCAGAGAAAAGGTAACGGAAGAGAGATAGAAAATAATGAAATTATACAGTAAGAAACAACGACACAACGCACAGAGAAAAGTAGAGGCTAGAGAGAGAGAGAAATGTAGGAGAACAAATAATACAAATATTTATGAATCTTCAAAAAAAGAAGAAGAGAAGTTTTACTTGGAGGAGACGAAGAGCGGGATTCGATCGGACCATGAAGCTTGATTCCCCAGCGACGAGCAGTTGATGATGATGTAGTCGTTGGATTATATCGGAGAAAAAACCCTAGGTTTTTAGGGTTTGCTGTGATTTAGGGCTTTTTTTGTGAAGATATCTGGAGAGATGGAGAGAAAAAGAAGAAGAAGAAGAAAAAGAAGTAATCATAATTCATAATGGGCGAAGAGGAGACACAGAGGCTGCGTGATGATTAGCAATGAGGAATTGGATTCAAATCGCCTCCCTCCTCCACTTACGCTCCCCCTCTCTCTCTCTCTCTCTCTCTCTCTCTCTCTCTCTCTCTAATGGGAAAAAGAGAGAACCAGAGAGGAGAGACTCTCTCTCTCTCTCATTTTCTCTAATGCCAATGATTCATTATCGATAATAATACTTTACAGTTGTTAACCTCTTATTCCATTTCTACCCTCCTTCCAAATTCTAAATATTTTCTTAAATTATCACCAAAAATAAAATAAAAAATAAAAAAAATGTAAGGGGTCAAAACATACCATACATATCTACTAGTGAACTATTACAATTCTACCATGCTTCAACAATCAAGCTTCCCAGGAAGCCGATTCCAAGAGAGTCGAGCACATGAAGGGGTACGATCGACCAAATTACGTGCACGTGTCTATCCTATTCTCACTTTTTAACTACCATCAAGATTACATTTGAAGATTTACGAGGCTTGACTAAGTTTAGGGGCTCTACATTTGAGGATTTACCAATTGGCACGACTAAGTCTGGGCATAATTCTAATAACATATTCGAATGAATACTCTCCACAATAGTATGATATTATTCATTAGCATAAGCTCTCAAGGCTTTATTTTGGGTTTCTCCCAAATCCAAAATGCAGTTAAGAACTGGGATAAGAAAAAATAAATAAATTTTGGTATGTATTATTATAATTTTATTGAGAAAAAAACAAAATAACAGAGAAAAAAAAGCATATTTGGTGTACTGGAGAGGGGTTTGTCTCTTGAATTCCATTATTATGGCATGTTTTTTTGTGTCTATATAATGCAGATTGGCTGGATACAGTTTACTTTCCCATCTTAAAAATCAAAAATCAATTTAATCTCTTATATTTCAACTTTTATTTATTTATTTATTTGCATTAAAATTTGTTATAGTGTATGCAATTAATTAATTTCGATACAAATTAAAAGTCTTGAATTGTTATTAAAAAAAGTAAGGGTGACGTCGAAATTTGATATGAAGTTTTTATTGGTGATGGGAAAGCGCGAAAATGATAAGATTCTTGCACATACGTCACCTCGGCCCCACTGCTTATGATCCATGATTTTGAGCCTCCATCTCATTTTTTTACTTTTAAGGTAACCAGTTCGAGCATGACCAGCTCCTATAATGTGACGGACGATGTGTACAAGGTCTGAGAACAAATTCACCGCCATACATCTGATCGGTGATTACTAGCAATTCTAGCTTCATGCATGCAGACAAGTTACACCTACAATTCTACTGAAGATGTGAGTTAGCTCATCCTTGCATGATTACCTTTTAAAATATTTACAAATATATAAATTACCATGGGAGTATTAACAAAATTAATTCTTACAATATTAAAAAAAAAAAAAAAAAAAAAAAAAAAAAAAAAAAAAAAAAAAAAAAAAAAAAAAAAAAAAAAAAAAAAAAAAAAAAAAAAAAAAAAAAAAAAAAAAATATATATATATATATATATATATATATAATAATAATAATAAAAAAGGGGAATTAAATTTGCAGGCTTCATCTTCCTCTTATTTCCATCAATAAACAAGTTCCAAATGATTCTTACAAAAAATAAATAAATAAATAAAATTCCCTTAATTATAATAATAAAAAAAATTGTTTTTACTGTGCCAAAATGCAATTACAGTTGGAAAATTTATATTTTCTGAGTGCGGATTGAATTGAACACATCACATCTCCTCCTCACTTCTCCTTTCCCGCCAGTTTTCACCTCGCGAACGCTCATCTTCTCCATAGCTTTTGCAAAGTCCTTGAAGAACAGGTCCTGATTTCCCGCGTACATCTCCACAAACTTCTTCGTCCTTGGATCCTTTGCCAATGCATGTTCTGACTTCGAAAGCGCCATACCTCTCAGCAGGTTCCGGTAGTATTGGTTGTCGAACTTCAACGGCGTTACGACGTCGCTGTATGCCGACAATCCAGGATTCTTCTCGTAATCCGTGCAAGTCGTTTTCAAAGCCTCCGCCAACTTCGGATGAAGCTCTGGATCGGTTGGTGTTGTCTTGCTGAACTTGAAGAGCCGGTCGCCAAATTCCCTGCAATTTGAGTATCCGATTGTGCGTCCGCCGTACAGCGCTACCATTTCCTGAATCGTGAAGCCTTTCCCTGTGAATAGCTTGATCATCTTGTCGACTGTTTGGTTTGCAATCGGAATGTTTCCTTCCACGTCTGAAGATTTCGAGACGTGACTGTCTTCGCGCCCTAATTGAACGCCATACGACGGTCCGCCTGTGACGGCGATGAGATCACGAGTCGCCTGTGCTAGTACGTCGGAGCAAGAGACGATCCCGGGGCAGGAAAGCTCCAAGGTAATCTTCGCTCGAGTGACGACGTCGAAGGCGTCTCCTGGAAGAGAGAGGTTGATTTCGGCTTCGCGCTCGGCGTGGTTGAAGACATTAGAGGAGATGAGAACAGAAGCATCGCAACCTCCAACCAAACAATCGTTAAAGAAGAGGCGCATAGTAGCGGCAGCGGTGATTGGACTAGCAGTTTGCTTGTGAACGACGGCCTCGTGAACGATTCTCTCAAAATCGGGGCAAGTCTTCTGGTAATAATCGAGAGAAAGCTCTGATCGAACAGAGAAGGAAGCAGAGAGCAAAATTACACAAAGGAAAGCGGCAAGAGGAAAGAAGTCCATGGCGGAAGAGGAAGGAGGCGGCAGAAACCCAGCTTCCTCTCAATAAGGAACAATTGAATAACGAGAAGGAAGCAATGATGGATTGGGGAAACAGAGAGGGGATGAAATAGGGGTGAAAATGGGAGGTTTCAGGAGATTGTTTATGTAGGAGGCCGGTAATGGCCTCCGAGATCTAACGAACAGAGAACGTCCCATTGATGACTGAATCAAATCAAATCAATTACAGCGGATTATTCGTGTCGATCGACACAACAACTTCAGGTACTAATTTTAGGGTTTATGATTCAATTGCGGGATACAGGGTTTTGGTGGATTTAGAATAAAATATAAATTATTTTTTTAGCACGAATATTCAAATATTTTATTTTTATAAAAAAACGTAGAAATAAATTTAGTTTTTTTTTTTTTTTTTTAAACTGTTAGATGCTTTCAAATTAATAAATATAGATCTAAAATTAGGATTGAAGCATCAAGAAATGCAATAAAAAATAAATGAATAGATAAGTATGAAAATTAAGAAATTAAGTAGGTTTTTGTTAATCTCTCATTTTAAGTACCATGTTATTCGGACAAAGGTGTACGGATAACCCATTTGATAAGGCCCAAATGAAATGTGGCCCACTTTTTAAAACTTAACTTCTGTCTGCGTCATCTAAACAATCGATTTGATAATTCAAAAATAAAAACGTCTAAAAAAATATTCTTAATTTTTAATTTTTTTTAATTAAGCCTTAAATTTTCAAAAGAAAATTAAAAAAATATCTTGGTTTTGAAGAAAAATGTTAGTAGTGGTAAACTCTTCAAAACTATCTTTAAAACTTTAAAAAGTTTTATTAATACTATTTTATTTTTTAAAATATTAGTTATGTTTATAAAATATTTGTGAATTTTTAAAGAGTGCATTACTATATTCGTAAAAATAAAAAGTTATTTTCTATTATCTTTATTTTTTAATGTTGCTTTTTAAATTTAGAATTATTTTTTAATTCTTTTTTAAATTTACAGATGTTTTTGAAATTTTTAGAAAAGTTTTGAGTTTTCTTAGGAAGGTTTAGGAGTATTAATAAAATATTTGAAAACTTCGAGATTATATTTTAAATAATTATCAAATTTGAAATAGTCTTAAACAAAATAGTAATAATTTTTATTAAAAAAATTGTTGAAATGGTTGGAAATATATATATATATATATTTTAGATATATTGAAAAGTTGAGAGATATTTTTATTAATTTAGAATATATATATATATAAAACTTTATTTAAAAAAAAGTATGTTTTATTTGGGCATTGTGAAGTGGCAATTCAGACAATTTTCTCAATTAGTTTCCTTTTATAACATATCATCTGGTTCAATTTGGAAGGTCTTTTCCTTTTCATAATCCACTCTCAAGGAAATATAGTTAACCAAATTATTCAATCCACGACAACCAAGTTTCTATGGGCGTCTTGATTTGAGCTGCGATTCGCTTCAGATCCCCAGCGCCATTGACTTCGTACTCCGATTCGATTCTATTCGATTCGCTTCTTCTGCCCGGAATTCTTATCCAGTCCATAGATTCCATACATGTTGCCCCGCAGGTCTTTCACATGGATTCTTCTGCTCTTCATCATCTTCTCCGCTCTCTTCAATCCTTCCAGCTCCAACAACTACTGGACTGCCAAGCGAATGCGTATGAGGGAAAAGGTCCGCCGGATGTAAGCCTCTTATCTTCATAATCTCCGTTGGCATTTTTAATTCAATCGCGGTAGTTTCGTTTTTTGTTCCGGTCTATTGGATGCGGTTCTGACTTCATTATCGTTCTGTGGATCGGTGTTGTGTTGAGAAGCTCTAGCGTTTTGTGGTATAGGAGATACTTCGTTCAATTCTACGAAAATTCTAACTATAAAGTCTAATTTTGTCATGTCTGGAGAATTTTCAGTTTTTGTTTAGTTTGTTATGATGATGACTTAGACGTTTCTATGGAGCTCGTCATTCTTATCTGCGTTTAGTCTTTTTTTTCTGGAAATTGGACGCAGTACAGTGATGATATATTGTTGGGATCTTATTCAATCTAGGTCTTCAGGAAAATTATGACTAGATTTGTTGAACTTCTATCCGAGCCACATTGAGTGCATTATTTTGACCTCTAGTTACAGTGTCTTACTATTTATTCTTGGTGAGTTGCATAATCTTATTTTAGTACACACCACTGTTCTTGCCTAAATTTCATCTGTTGTATTTGCTTAGATGATCCCTACGTTCACTAGCACGCAAAGTATCTGACAGTTGGCTTATTTTTATATGCTTTCAGGTTTTACCATGCATATGACAACTATATGACATATGCATTTCCAGTAAGTATTCTTGGTTACAGATTCATGCGCTCTGATCACATAGAAACCTATTGACTGTCCTATTTCTATCAGCATGATGAGCTAAAACCTCTTACGAAGACCTTCACCAACTCCCTCAGTGAGCTCGGTAATCTTAAGGTAATCAATATAATGTTAATATGGCTTTAGAGTGGTAATTGGTTGTGGGGAGTGCATTAACTGTGTAATTCTTCAATTTTCAGCTGGAACACTTACCACAAAATTATAATGGATCTGCTCTTACACTCATCGAATCATTGTCTAGGTATGAATTGATTACTGCCGGAATTTATGGTTGTTTAGTTATTAGTTTCATAATGATCACATTTTTCCTTTTCAGCCTTGTAATTTTAGGCAACAACACTGAATTTCAAAAGGCGGTGCTTTGGCTTTCTGAAAATTTACGTTTTGATGTTGATGCACGGATAAATCTATTTGAGGTACCCAAGTCCTTAGATACCCCCAATCCCCAAAAAGATGAATGTGGTTGGCTCATCTCTAGAGTTGAAATGCTTGTCATGCTAAGAAAGAGCTAAAATGTTGTGGATGAAGGAGCAATGTATGCATTTTTACTCTTGACCACAATTTTGTAGTGCAACATAAGAGTTCTTGGAGGACTTGTTTCTGCCCATGTTCTTGCAACTGATTCCACAAACCGATTGCCTAGAGAAAGTTATAAGAATCAACTACTAGTTTTGGCCGAAGACTTAGGGAATCGCTTCCTACCTGCATTTAATACCCCCACAGGGTTGCCATATGCGTGGATTAACCTCAAGGTATTACCTATCATCTGCTTCGGTCCAAATCTAATTGTTTATAAATATTATGATATATTAAACTTCATGCTATATGATTTTCATGGGATTTTGTATTCACTGGACCCTGTCTTCTTTTAGTGAGCTAATTTTGCAGTCATTGAGAATTGAGATATGTCTCTGATGCCTTATAAGTCGTTTATGCTGTTTGCATGTTGAACAATATTCTTGGTATAAGTTTCTAAATGATCATAACGAGAATAAGTGAATCTCCTTAGGTGTACTGAACAAATTTTGCATCCAACAAGCCAGATCTTACCTTGCTTTGTTCCTTTTGTTCTTCTCAGCAGTTCTTTTTTTCTTGGGGCGTGGGTGGGGTGGAGGTCAACTATTTGGATGATATTTTTAATGCAGCTTAAACTCACTGTATGCATGGTACGCTTAGGGAGTCCATAGATATTTTCAGAAGTTTTCTTTGCAGTTTTAAAATATATGAATACGTTTTTCTGGGTCATGGTTCCATTTTCTCCCTCTAAAGAGGAGTATATGACTCCACATCAATCCAAAATTCTGTGGGCAGCATGGAGTGATGGAGAATGAAACTACTGAAACAAGTTCTTCCGGGTGTGGTGAGCTCTTATCTTTTATTGTTAAGATAAGTATACATGAAAATTTTATGGTCTGAATTGGATCAATTTTTATCTGGATATAGGTTCTCTAATTCTCGAAATGGGAGCATTATCGCAATTGACTGGTGACCCCAGGTTTGAATCTGCTGCTTTGCGTGCTCTTCGTAAGTTGTGGAGCATGCGCAGTTCATTGAATTTACTTGGAACTACATTGGATGTGGAAACAGGTGAATGGATTGAGTTCTCATCTGGAATTGGTGCTGGTAAGATATTTGTTGTTGACAACACAGATTTTTACATGTTTTGGTAGAAGTTATCACATCTTCATTATTACTATATTTTTCTTCTTCGATAATTGTCTCCCACCTCTTTTAAGGCGCTTCCATACTCTTGTAATATTAACTCAACGTCTATCAGGAAGAAAACCTGTTTTATGCAATTGAGCTCGGGGTAGAATTATACATAATTATGCTCTTGGAAGAGTAGAAACCTAATACTGATGTTGGATTCTTGTGGTTTCTTCAAGGGGTTGATTCATTCTATGAATATCTATTTAAGGCTCATGTACTTTTTGGAAAAGAAGAATTCTGGAGAATGTTCCACACTGCTTACCTTGCTGTGCAGAAATATTTCAGACATGGTCCATGGTAGCGTGTACACTATTTTTATGAATATTTTAGTACGAACACATTTTCTTAAATTATACAAAACTATATTCATTTTTAGCCGTTTCTAAGCTACAATAATTGTAATTTTCAATGCACACCAACCTTTTTTTTTTCTTTTTTTCTCCCAATAGATTTTAAACAATAACAAATAAAAACAATTCTTAACAATATTCTTTAAGAACAAATTTTTAAAAGGTACATACAAAAAATTATTATCTTATTTTGGGCGGCTTACTTGAAATTATTTGGTAATGTAGGTATCATGAGGCTGATATGAGGACAGGGAGGGCAACCCATTGGCAGCTCACAAGCCTTCAAGCATTTTGGCCTGGCCTACAGGCTAGTTGCAGTAATCTTTGAAGTTTTAGTAAATGATACTCTACTCGAATATGACTGTTTGTCATTGACTCTCTGTTAGTAGGTTCTTGTTGGGGATATTCCGGCCGCTAATTCATCACACCGTGAGTTCTTTCATGTGTGGGAGAAATATGGAGTTCTGCCGGAAAGGTATGCTGCTTGCAAATCTGTCCATTTAAACTATTCCATGTTTTGACCAGAACACAGAACTTTCGCTGTTCTATCTTATTTTCTTTTGTCAACTATCTTGTTTCAATCTATTAGAGTTCCAGTATTTTCCATGACAACCATTAATTCTTAAGTCTGGGATTTTAAATTGTTCAGGTATTTACTTGACTATCAGATGCTGCATCCCACTGAAAAGTATTATCCTCTCCGTCCAGAATTGGCAGAGTCAACTTTTTACTTATATCAAGCAACCAAAGGTTTTATTTTTCAAAAACTTCAACATTGTATATTATGATTATTTCGTTTCACGTCGACTAAAAGTTTGAAGCTCTGCTGTAACATAGTATTCTTGGAATGCTAGTTTCCTTACGTCTTATCCAACTATTAGTTATAA